GTTTTTAACTTACTATCCAAACCTCCAAAGTTGGTCAAATGTAGTTTAAGATGCATCACAAATAGAAGAATCATATTTATTATCATCTAGCAATTGACCATACACATCATTGACATCATTTGACAAGCAGCACTAAACTCTTTTTAGCTGCTCATTTGCATTAACCACCCATACACGCAAGGGCTTTTTAAGCGATGGTTCCGCAGTCCAAATATGACATTCCGTATCGGCCGACACGATCGTTCAGATTACACATATTTTGGTATTCCCAAACGCCCATATCTGATCTTTCATCAGGTTAGAACTCACAATAATCGGGACTGCCACATATCTGATATTTCTCCGCGATAGTCCACTAACGCACAGATATTAATGAGAGGTAAAGATCGCGGCGGAACAAATCTTTTAAAAATCCCTTGCGTGTATGGGTGGTCATATCTTTATTAGTAAAGGTTTTAAACTGCTATTCTATTTCTAACATGAAATTAATTGATATAGACTCTCTTGTAACACATGGTTTACCATTTCCGTTTATCTTTATTCTAGAAAACAGCATCGATTCATCTTTATTACATTTATCAGGAATAAAGATATATTAAGTAGCTGTCCTCCCTATAATTTTATTAATCCAAAAATAAAAAGTGTTGCACATTCGCACCGACCTGAATATGTTATAATTTTCAATATATACCTTAATTACATATATCATAGGTTTTTCGCTTCGAAATATTTAAAAAAGGTTAATAATATAACTAAAAATACATTTTTTGTACCCGTTGCGTAAAAAAGATAATTTTACAATAAATAAATTTACATATAAAATAGTTAATTTATTATACTAGAATTAGCCAAAGCCTAACAAATTGTTAATGGAACTCGTATCTATAGTGTTACGCACAAATAATCAAAGACTGGAATACAACAAAAAATACCTCTCACAACGTTGCCAATACACTATTCATAGATTTAACCAACAACACAAAACATTTTATTCTCCGTCGTCATTTCCTTAATAATACCATTGTTCTGTTTTTCACCAAATTTCTCCTATCCAAGTACAAATTTTTATTAATGTGTTTATACTCCCATTATTAATATTTAATCTTAATAATCATTGGTGTTGTAGTTGTGTGAGGTCCGTCTTTTGGCGGCAAGTTTAAATATAAGATAGCTTTTTTATAGCCGCTAAGATGCTCCCACCTGTTTTCAATTAATATTACCACGTGGTAGTTTTGAGTAATTTAGTAGTTCTAAAAATGTTTTTGTTGAATAACCAGAAATCGGATTTTTGATATTGCTGATGGAAAACATTAGAAAATTTATTCTGAAAGTATACCTAACCTAGAAAATAGTATTATTGTTATATAATTATGAAAAACAGTATTGAAAGCCAGCAGTATCAAAAAATCCATTCAAATTTTATACCATATTATTGGAAAGTGTTGAAGAAATAAGAAAGGTTTTATGTATGTTTATAGTGTACTGTAGTAGAGACGGGGCGAGACAGCAGGGGATTTGTTCTCTTCTCTGCATTGCCGCTCCTTGGAATTAGTTAGAAGCAGCACTACTTTAGCAGGGATTAGAATAAACCATTGTTATATTGTAATGTTTTGTTATTGAACTCAGGATTTTTGATAGAGGTAAATTTTTATTTGCTCGAATAACATGCGACTGATATAAATATAAAAAAAACGAAAATCTTATGTCAATATTACAAACACATGCATCAAAAACTAATATCAATTTTGGAAGCACGTTATACTTGCATAGGAAGGTTTACTTACTGTAAAGTTTACAAGTCACCGGGTGATTACTGAATGAGTACAAAAAGCTGTCGTCTCGCACCCGATCGAATTTATTATCATTATTATTATTACTACTTATTCTATTATGAAAATGTAATTAAAATTTATATTAAAAGTATCATTGAGTATTAAATTTATTTTAATCTTTCATCACAGAATCTATATGTATATTGGAATATAACACAATAAAGAACCTTTTATAAATAGCGTCAAAATTGAATTTTTAACTATTATAAAAAATTTTTAGGCCTTAATAACTACCTCAAAATATTTTTAAACAGCTACTTTTTGTATAAAAAATCAATGATCTAGTGATGAAAGAATTAATTTCAGAATTAAGTATCCAAACTTTTTGTTTCTGATTTTTGTATTTTATAGAGATTGTTTTACAAAACCGTATATATCTAAAATTGTGTATTTTGGTCATCGCTCCGTTTAATGAATCGTGTGCCATATATGAAATTTTACCAAAAATGCTACGATGCTGTTAATACACAATTTTTAATATTGTAAAAGACTATATTTAAGTATATATTTTCCTACTAGAGTACCTATGATAAAAGCTGGCGGACAGTTATATCGACAAGACAATTCTTCAATATATTTGAAAGTATATATTTGTGAATTTAGACTAATATAGTCAGTTACAAAAGTCAAATATAAAATGCACAATTTACCAGTATCTGACTAAAATATTTTAGGATATCAGCAATAATATTGACTATAAATTATACTACACCATATAAAAAATCATAATGTAATACTTTGAATCTGTTAGTTGTGCGTTTTAATTTGAAGATTCAGTAATGTGAAAATGTTTTTATACGCGTGAAAAATATCAGTATATTATCATAACATTAAAACTTATCGAGCTTCTAACGGCTTTTTATAACTATGTAATACAATGGGATTATACATTTGTAAGGCGTATTGAATATATATATAACCATTGTCTATAAACCATATACTGTGTTTTATTCCAACTATATACTTCCTAAAAATGTCTATACCTATGTGGCGGATTCATCTCTCCAAAAAATCCTATATGGGTACCTATATATTTCGCCACTGCAAAATAATATATAATATAATATGGAAGTATATTATTATATACTATACTTCCTGCATCCTACATTCTTTCTAGAGTATACTGCGTGCACAGGGGCGGATACAGAAATTTATTTTAGGGGGGGCCCAAATAAAAAATAATGCAAACTATGCCTTTTAGGGCGCCATTTTTAATCCAAAAGCCTAATATTTAACCCAATTTACAGATTAGGGGGGGGGCCCATGGGCCCCCCCTCTGTATCCGCCACTGTGCGTGCATTGCATGAACTCTTGTCCTACAAATCCCTAAAAATTTTAAATTGGTCACTTTGGGCCCACCTCGGAGTTCCTCATTAGTTACGATAATGTCGCTGCGCAAAACTGAACTAATCAAAAAGAAAATAGTTATTAATATTATTAGTAAATTAGAATAAATTTCAATTGGAAAATCAATAACTTCACTAATACCGTATGATGGTGGAATGGAATATGGAAATGACGATCGATGACATTTCCCATATAAATTTACGCGTGAAATGACAGTGATCTTCATTTCATAACCATCGCCGACGCCGATTTTTTTTCGATCATACGGTATTAATCATTATCACTAAATGTTCAGAAACATACCGGGTGTTTTTGAAACCTAAAACTTTTTTATTTTTTCAGATAAGAAAACGATATTTGGTATGCTTCCCTGACGAACGAAAACAATTATTATTGAATAGGTACGTCAATTAGTCCTAATTTATGTCCATATGTCATAAATAAGGATTAATTCACTTCCTATTTCACCAGAAATAACTACAACTTTTGATTTTTAAACGACACTATTTTTTTACTTCATTCCCAGATAGCACATTTACATTCTTTTCATATGCGAAGCAAGTGACTTTGGAGAACAACAATGTTTTATTCACATTCCTTTTTTTCATTGGGAACATATACATGTATGTGTATGGCACATGAATAGCAGATATTACGTTCCACCCTATTCAAGTGATATAGAAGTGCGTTTCACATTCCAAGATATATTCTATGAACGTGAATTATATGTTCGTAAAAGAATGTATTTAAAAATAATATTCCAATTCTATGATATTCATGTTTTTAATATTTTATATTTATGCTTTTCATGTTTTTCATATTTTTTTATTATCTACAGAGGCAAAATAAAACACTAATTTGCCACAATACACCAAAACACTTCACTTTTGCACAGGACGCGCGTTTCGCTAACCATGCTAGCATCATCAGCAGATGGTCAAAATTTAAGTTTTAATCATCTGCTGATGACGCTAAGATGATTAACCAAACAAGCGTCCAGTTCAAAAGTAAGCCTCCCAAGAGACGACAACCATTCGTGCCATGAATTTTGGTACTACTGATATTGGAGATGGAGAACTACCCTCTATAAAACCGTCCCAGATACTGGCTTTTGTCAAAGCCCTGGGACTGTATGATGAGTTATGATTCAAGAAAGGGGGACACAATGGATCTGTAAGGTCGAAGTGATTAACCCCCCTCCCACTCATTCTAAATTCTAAATTCTAAAAAAAAATCATCAGCAGATGGTCAAAATTTAAGTTTTAATCATCTGCTGATGACGCTAAGATGATTAATCAAACAAGCGTCCAGTTCAAAAGTAAAGTGTTTTGGTATATTGTGGTGAATTAGTGTTTTAATTTGCTGTTGTAACACCAAAGATTCCAACCCTCAACTCTGTATCTACTGGGTGTCCTGTATAAGGATGCACTGTATCAATATCCTATAAACTATAGATATAGATACAATTTTTTTCATATTTAGCAATTTTTTTATCTCTTAAAATCTATAGGATACCTATACAGTACATTCATATCTGGAACACACTACAAACAATTTGCTGAAATTAAATAATTTGGTGTGTAATAATCAAAAATTAACTAATAAATAGAACGGTTAAAAATAATAGGTAAGGATAAAGACGAACTTGAGTAATATATGTTTATTAATTAAAAATATTTTAATATAACGATATACATTGATATTATCTTCTATGTCTATGTTTCTATATTCTCTTGTCTACCCTTCTGAAATAATATCAGCAGAATTATACTGTTCAAATAATTTGCACAACTTACCTTTGTATTTTTTAATCTTTCTTTTGTTTTTACAAGCCATATTTTAATTATATTGATAATTTCGGTTTCTTTTGACTTTTGAAATTGACCTTTCATGGAGTCTAAAATATATGTTATTACAGTCTTTGCAACACCAAATATCTTTAAGTTCAGATACCTAAAATTGCTTTTGGCCACTAACAATGATTTCAAACTTCTCTTCTGTTTGGCCCCATCCCAAGAATATTTTTGTGCAATTTCATTGCCCAGAACCTTATAAAGCACTTTCCTTGTACTTTGTGCTACTCCTGAACCACCAAGTCTAGATAATTCTCGAACCTAATAATTCTAAAAAATACCTTTCTCTTAAAAGATACACAATAAATGATTATAGAAGAGCCTACATAAATACCTATATAAATACTATACTGTAAGAAATTTCAGCACTGGAACTACACTTATCAGAACAGAAATCTTCAATGAGACTACCAGAGATACTACTACTTTGATGATGTACAGAGGATAATAAAAAATCACTTTGGTCTGAATCCAGTTTAATGTACAATATTGAAGTCATATTTGCGTAAAATTGGGCGCGTTCAGGGACGGTCAGCGGCTGAGTGGCTGAGTAAGCGGTTTCCCTAAACGATCTCTTTTTACACGCTGAGTAAAATACTCAGCGGTCGGTCAGCCGCTGTGTTCCCTGAACGCGCACATTGCCTTAATATTTTGGCTCCTCTTTTTTGGTTGAATTTTAAAATATTTTTTAGTATAACCTATTTTTTTTCGAGGTCTCATGGTTTAAGAACATTAAATTCACTCACCTTAAAATAGATACTGAAAACACAAACATAACAAGAACTATTTTACCGATTCTATCCTTAAAATAATTATTTGTATAACTTATCTTTACGTTATCTCAGTGTTTTAATTATTAAAATAGTTTGGATGAAGCACGTTTACGTTTATAGTTCACTTGTTGTTTTTTTACATGGTACAAAGAATACAAGGTATGATATTGCGCAGGTTGGTCGCTACGTCACAGGTGATAACAGGCGCTATTGGTCAGCACGCTCCGCGCGCCAGTTCAAATCGTCAATATATTGTTATAAACCTGTTTTTTTGTTTACATACCGTCATTGAATAATCGCTAAGCAAGCTACTGTGGAGCAGTGCGTAAGGAGTCGGGCTAGGAAGCGAGAGACCGGAGTTCGAATTCTCGGCCGGGACATAACTTTTTTTTATTTATTTTTTATAATACTGTTGCTTTCTATAGTTTATTTTTGTAGTATAAAAAAAGAACTATTATTCTGTTCATTTTCTTTAATCCCGTTTATTAATTTTATAAAATTGATTGTTAGTACAATACCTCATTTAATATAAAATTAATATTCTACTTTTTGAAATGTATCGGGCCCTAATGTACCTAAAGTAAATATTTTTTTTTTTTTTTTTTTTTTTTTTTTACTTATTTAATATTTCAGTGACTTAAAAAAGTAATTTGCCTTGAGTTAATATTGTCCTACAATTAAAGGAAATTTGAGCTATATAATCCTTGATGGGCATATTCTGGGTATGAAAATACTTTCCTTTAAAAATTTTGGGTGTTTGTAACGTGCCAAAATTTCACTAAACTATTTTAAAAATTTCTTTTCTTTAATAATTTAACGATAATTTGATATTATTATTAGTCTGAAATATCGATCAGTTCAATTCAGTAAACCAAGAATAAATAAATCGTACTTACATGTTAACAGAAGTAATTATTCCATCCTTATTTTTAACTAAACATATTTCCCACTTAATAACATTTTTTTTGCAGCACAAAACTAGTTTGATTTAATACAATTAATACTTTATTTAGCGAAATAGATAAAATAATTCTTTCCGCCGTTAATTCTGTTTATATACTAAATACGTAGGTTAAAAATTTTTGAATTGAACTGTCAAATATTATATTTATATTTTATTAACATTAACTATTAGGCAAGCCAAAATATAACTTTAAATAAATTGAATATATATTTTGTATTTTATTTATCAACAGTATTTATTGAGCCTATTGTAACTTAGTTAAACTCATTAAATTTATGTTGCTCTATTTTAATTTTTAGGTGAATTTTTAAAGCATAATTGTCTTAAATATCGTATCGATCCGGCAAGTGAGTCATGCGCAATACCTCTAGATTCGCTTGTTATTTATTAATTTTGAATGTTTGTTAAGCAAATTTCCTATAGTAACTTTCAATATTCCGTTAACTTTAAATTTACTAATTAATTATATACAATTATTTGATATTAACTTTATTTTCCTTTAATATATAATTTTTCTTCATGTCTTTATATCTCAGCTCATGTTTGGCAATCCATATTTTATTAAGGGCTCGTGTTTTTATCTGAATATTTCTTTGTTGCAAAAAAAGGTTTTCGTTTTTCTTGGAACTACCTTGGTTTGGTCAATTTATGTTCAGCTAGTGTGAGGTACAGAGGCCTCTCGGTCATTTTTGTCAAGTTTTTGATTTTTAACCCTTGTGGGGGATTTTCGAGTGTGCCTCAAAAATTACTGCAGAATCCTATCTTACCTTTTGTTTTTTTGGAGGGTGCTACAGTTTACCGGTGACGGGATTTTCATCTCAAAAAGCTGACGTGGTTCAACCAAGCAGCCCGCTTTTTTTTATTGAGCACCCCATTCCATCAAGGGGAAGAAATAATATTAATTAAATATTATTTGATTGTAGAAAACCCTGAGTTAGCAGGTAAAGCATGCCTTTAAAAGTTAAGGAAGTTATCAAGTCTTTTCTTAATAACTTTCATTTTCATTTAATTCTGTTTCTTTTTTATACTGATATGGACTTCTACCAAAGAATATCTTAAAAAATAATAAAAAAATATTTTAATTTATTATTTACTTTTTTTTTTTTTTTTTTTTTTTTTTTTTTTTTTTTTTATATATAATTAATATAAATTTAGGCATTTATATAATAAATATTTTACTTATATCATTATTTTTAAATTACTAATTAAATTGGTACTATTGTACCTCAATAAGTGAATCCTTTAAAAAGGCCGGAGCTTTCAAATCTTCTCCTTATAACCTAAAGTTTGATGATGAAAAGATAATTATTCGTACGCTATTAGACGAGGTTAATGAGTCCATTAGTACAGTATCATCGGAAGAGAACGTCCAAAACAAATTTCTGTCCATTCAGTCTAGACTAGTCCATCTGCTTAACCGTGTAAACAGAATACCTGACCAAGTTTTGAACGTCAACCAGAAATCTGAGAAGACCGAACTTTTGATTGATGTTTTAGCAGCAATCGATACTTTAGAATCAACGTCTCGACAAGAACCTCAGTGGAGCAATCACTTTCGAGATCCTGATGATGATATACCATTACATTCCTCACATGTACATAATTCTACTAGTCAATCTGTTCCTTTTGTAAATAGCGTCTCCCCTTCGAAATATCTAAGCTTTGAGAAATGGAATTTAAAAAATTTACCGGGCGATTATTGCTTAAAAAACTATCAGTCCACAATTTCATAGAAAGAGTGAATGAGTTGCGCTTGGCTCGTAATATAACTGAAAACAATTATTTGATTCGGCCATCGATTTGTTCACCGGAAAAGCTTTAAATTGGTTTAGGGCAAATAATAATAGGTTTCAAGATTGGCAGGGTTTAAGCCACCTATTGCGCAGTCATTTTGAGCCAACTGACTATCGTGCTAGACTCTTTAAAGAAATTTTAGTAAGAACACAGGATACCTCCGAGACTATAATTGACTATCTTTCATGTATGCAGGCAATGTTTAGACGCTATGATGGTTTATCCTCAGATACTCAACTGGATATTTTGTGTAGGAATTTATCCCCATTTTATACCACGCAACTTCCTGTTGTAAATACAATTGAAGAGCTTGAGAGAGAATGTCTTAAGCTAGAGGTGAAGAAGTATCGTGCCGAAAGCTACGTACCTCCGTCTAGGAAAAAGCAACAATTTGTCGAACCGGACTTTGCTTTTGTAGGAGTGCAGAATTCACAGCCTTCTACTTCTTATACTCTTATTATTGATGAAGAAAACCAAGTCAGTGAAATCTCTCGAGGCCTACAGAATAATTCTCATAATTCGTCTAGGGAAATTACTTGTTGGAATTGCCAGAAGACAGGCCACATAAATCGTAATTGTCCTAATCCCAGAAAAATGCATTGCTATCGTTGTGGTACACCAGATGTGATAACTAGAACCTGTCCAAAGTGTTCCAGTTCGGGAAACGGCCCCTGGGGGAAATCGTTAGGTCGTGCTATTTCCTCTCAATCCACACTATTAACGGTCCATGCAAATAACACCCAAGATTTTCTAAAAATAAAATTTCCTTGGACTATATTGTTTACCATGCGCAAGGCGATCAACGTCCTTACCTTCAAATTAGTATTTTAGGCTATTCACTTTTGGGTTTACTCGATTCCGGTGCGAGTCGTACATTAGTTGGCTTGCCTGGTTACGAAATTCTGTTGAGTCTGGGACTGAAATTAATTAAGCAAGAAAGTTCATGTACAGTTGCGAATGGTGAAGTATGCACTAGTATAGGTTATATTCAAACACCAATAACATTAATGAATAAACTAAAATTATTGATATTTTGATGCTTCCCTGGATTATCTCACAAAATTATTCTTGGCATAGACTTTTGGAAATCGATGGAAATTGTACCTGATCTCAGGCAAGACGTTTGGCATTTTTCTGAGAACACTGAACTTGCTCAGATTTGTGGAGTGCAGAGTAAAGACCTTTTAACGCCTGTAGAGAAAACATCTTTGGATAAATTGGTGGAAGAGAAATTATCTCAGATGGGATCTACTCTTGGTTGTTGTAGAGTTGCTGAACATGAGATAGTTCTTGAACCAGGAACCAGGCCAATAAAACAGCGATATTATCCAGTGTCTCCATACAAACAAAATTTATTGACGACGAGGTCGAAGAAATGCTTAAACATGGAGTGATAGAGAGATCGAATAGTCCTTGGTCTAGTCCTATCTGTCTTGCTCGGAAGAAAGATGGATCTTTCAGATTTTGCATCGATTTTCGCAAGCTGAATGAACGCACGAAGAAAGACGCCTGGCCTATTCCTTATATTTCCACAATTTTAGATCGGTTACGGAATGCCCAATTTATTAGCTCGGTTGATATTAAATACGCTTTTTGGCAGGTACCGTTGAATGAGAGTTCTCGTGAGTACACTGCATTTACAGTGCCTGGGAGAGGCTTGTTCCAATTTCGCAGAATGCCGTTTGGTCTATCAAATGCGCCTGCTACTTGGCAGCGTATTGTTGATACAATTTTTGGTCCAGAACTTGAGCCAAATGTTATGGTCTACCTCGATGATATTGTTATTTTATCTTCATCTTTTTCCGAACACCTGAAACTTTTGGAAATTGTTTTTGACCGCCTTGCCAAAGCTGGTCTTGTCGTGTCTTTAGATAAGTGCAATTTTTGTAAACCAGAATTGCGTTATCTAGGTTATCTAGTAGATGCCCAAGGACTTCGTCCAGATCCAGAAAAAGTAGAGGCCATTGTCAATATTCCTCCACCCAAGAATATTAATGAAGTTCGTCGATTCGTTTGAAGTTTGAAGTATTAATGAAGTTTCGTTCCAAATTTTTCCTCGCTTCTTGCACCTATCCTCAACCTCACGAAGAAGAATGTTAAATGGAATTGGACTGATGATTGTCAGAAATCATTCACACTACTCAAAGAATGTTTAGTTACTGCCCCTATTTTAGCAGGACCCGATTTTGAGAAGCCCTTTTGTTTACAGACCGATGCGTCGTCATAGGACTTGGAGCTGTTCTTATCCAAGAATTTGAGGAGGGTGAAAAGGTCATATGTTATCTTTCCCGATCACTTACCAAGCAGGAAATAAAATTATCTGTAACAGAAAAGGAATGTTTGGCTGTAATATGGTCAGTAGAAAAACTGAGAC